CTGATGGCCTCCTGGGCTCTGCTTCAGCCACACAAGATGCTGCCAGTCAGGTGGGAGATGGGGACAGTGTCATGTGGACCCGCCATTTTTACTCAGAAAATCCATGTGCCTGCTTTACCAGGAGAGCCTGGGTGCTGTCTGGGTTCATGCCAAGGTGCTTGTGTTTTGATAGTAGGAGGGGATAAAACCTGTCCAAGGGGCATCTGTGTGTCTCCAGTGCCTGGTCCCCAAGTCTTGGAGTTGTAGCATGGGCCAAAGGATCAATTAGAGCCGAGTGGCTGATGCTGACTTTGACCATTGGCTTGGCCACTCCTGCTCATGTGTCCCTGGGCAGCTCACCTCTCTGAACCTAGATTAGGATCCGAGCCCCCATGGGCCTCAGTATTCCCACCCTGCAGGACAGCTGTCCCAGGTGAGGCATGGTATGTGGCGATATCCCTGGACACCGGACAGGTGTTCACCAGGTGGCAGGTATGGCCTCGCAGACTGATCTCCAGTAAAGAGCTGGAGACTTGAAGGATCCTTGTCAACGCTGGGCTCCAGGCTGAGACGGGGCTTCCTGATCTGAGAAAGTCGTCAAGCAGATGTGAAAAGATGGGGGGACAAAGAGAAGGAGCTCCCCCGGTCAGATGGATCTTCTCAATCAGCTCAAAGGGTGACAGATGTCACAGCACAAGCCCCCTTCTGTGTCAGTATTCCCATCCTGCCAGGTGCCACAGTCTCTAGCCACCATCCGATCTTAGTCCAGTGTCACCCTGGATGAATCACTCACGGGTAGGGTGCAAGCCCGGAACCTGACCAAGGCCCGGCTTCCTCGTCTGTATGAGGGGCATGTGACTAGGTCAAGAGGGCACCTGTCCAGCTCTGGCACAGCCTCAGGCACCGAGTGGGACTTGCAGGGTTCGGCAGGAAATCACAGTCCTGGGCGGGCTTAAGAGACAGAGCTTGCTCTTAGCTTTTCCTTCTGAATTCCCCAACATCCGTCTGTTGCTGCCTCAGTTGGATTTGATTTTCATCTCTGTGGACAGGAAGGCAGCAGAGAGCAGCACTGGCGCCTGCACCGGAGCCGTGCCCTCAGTGCCACTGGCCAAGTGAGTCCCTGGGGGTTCCCGTGTGAGCAGTGGGTGGTGGCGCTGGGGCCAGCGTGGCTTCACCAGAGCCATATTTTGTATTCATGAGGACTCCTGTGCACGGCTTTTCTCCTAGTAGATTGCTGCTTATCCCCATGAAGGATGAACAGTTATGTGCATGTTTTTTTAAAACTCAAAATACATCAAACCCATTTGGCAACATAAAACTGAAAATACATCCATCCATCCACATTGACTTGTGAACCTACCATCGATTTTACTAAAAAAGTATTGCTGGGCACCATTGAAGGAATCAAGCCACAAACAAAAATGGGAAAAGCTGGAAAATGAGATTAACCCAGAGAAAAGTCCAATTATTTGAAGCTGGAGCTATGACCTGTTCTCCAAGCGTTCAAGTTCACCTCGTGAGCCCACGCCTCCCTTCCCCTGATATGAGCCCACGCCTTATATCAGAGGGAGGGAGGACCGTGACCAGGGATGTCATCCACACAGGCCTGAGCCACACACACCGGTGCTCTGGGACCTTGTACCCTCATGACCCACACTCCCTCTGGAGGCCCAGCAAGGCCAGGGCACTGGCCCCGAGGTCATGCAGTGGAGGGGCGGAGCTGGGGTTGGCTTGGGAGGCACACACCACAGCCACGCTGCTGACCACACACTCCACCTCCCGGGAAGGCAAGGGGACCTGTTCTCCTCTGTCACTGCGCAGGGGCTTGTGTCCTGTGAGAGCTCTGTTCTGTGAAAGCTTTGGCTCCATGGCTGGATTAGTGGGTCTCAATCCATGGTTCTCAGCCAGGGAAGATTCTGGTCCCCGGCAGATCTTGGGCCATGTCTGAAGGCATTTTCAGTTACTAAAACTGGGGGGGCTGGAGAGGGGAGCCACCCTCCTGACATCCAGTGTGTGGAGCCCAGGAAGCTGTTAAACATCAAAGAATGTCCATGACGCTGAGGTCTAGTAGACAGTTCTAGAAGGAAGAAGTGGTGAGTCTGCTCTGCACAGACCAACCTGTCCAGAGACCCGAAGGCAGTTCTAGGTCCTGTGTTCATGGTAGGATGAGGCCAGCTGGGTCTCCCAGAAGGAAGCAGCACACTAGGGAAGAGAGAGTGGGGGGCACCGGAGCCTGGCCTAAGGAAGAAAAGAGGACGGGGTGCAGGGAGGCGGCTCCCTGTCCATCTGCAAGGTCTGGGAGCCAAGCGCCTTCTCCTGGGCTGCAGAGGGCAGAACTGGGGTCAGCGGCTGACACTAGAGCAAACCAGGCTTCAGCGTGAGTAAGGACCACCGGGAGGATGCAGAGAACTGTCCACAGTGGGGTCCTCTCCCAGGGTGTCAGAGTGCCAGGTGACTGTGTGGCAGCGGTGCTCTTCCAGGGGCCTGCAGCTGAGGGGTCTGGGGCTGACTGGGATGCTGGGCTGTGCTGTCTCCATGTCTTTCTGTCTGTCACACACACACAACTCTGTACAGACCCCACTTTCTAGGCTTGACAGAAGCTCCTTCTCCACCTCCTCAGAGAACACGGAAGTTCTTGGCTACCATCCACTTCCCAGACTGTGGAGCCACTATGGATACACAGCCACTGGGTGTTTCCTGGCCTTCAGTCCACAGAACAGACTGGGTGATAAGTCATCTTTTTCTTTTCTCTGGCTGAGGCTGATACGGGGCAATGTCATGGCCAAGGCGGGCTGGCTTGAGGAAGGTGAGCCCGAGAACGGCGGCCTGCAGTCGGCCAGCTCGGGCTGCAGCTCTGGGGAGCACAAGACAATCTGAGAACATGAGAAACGTCCCAGCTCCAGCAGAGGTGGCCCACCTGGGTGCAGGACCTGCTCCCCAAGCCTGCAGTGTCTTGGCTGGGGACACCTGGGGCTGCGCTAACCAGCATTCAGCGGGCAGCAGGAGCCCAGGCCTAGAACAGGCCTCTGCTGCTTTTCTTCCTGCTTCCGTGGGTTAGGCCTCTTGGGGTTGTGGGCCTGGGCAAAGGATTGGAACGCTGTGATTTGGAATGCAGTGGAGTTGGGCGTGAGGGGTCTCTCACGCCTTTTTGGTTCTGAGTCTAACCTGAAATGATTCAAGTTGGACTAGGAGAACAGTATGGAGGGTCCTCAAGAAAGGAGATCTACCACATGATCTAGCTGTCCCACTTCCAGGTGTACATCCAAGGGAAATGAAGCCAGCATCCCCAGGAGACACCTACACATCCATGTTTATTGTGGTACTGTTCACCGTAGCTGAGATGGGAAATCAACCCCGATGCTGGTCAGCACATGAAGGGTCAAGAAAATGTGGAATTTTCAGTCATAAAAAGAATGAAATTTGGCCAGGCACAGTGACACACACCTGTAATCCCAGTGGCTTGGGGTACAGAGGCAGGAGGATTGCAAGTTCAAAGCCAGCCTCAGCAACTTAGCAAAGCCCTAAACCATTGAATAAGACTCTGTATTAAAATTAAAAAAAAAAAAGGCTGGGGATGCGGCTCAGTGGCTGAATGCCCCTGGTTTCAATACTCAGTCCCAAAAAAGAAAAAAGAAATTTGCAACAAAATAGATAGAACTGGACAACATTGTGTTGAGTGAGATGAGTCAGACACAGAAAGACAAATCCACACATTCTCCTATGGACGGATGTTAAGTCCATCTGGATGTGGAATAGGGATTACTAAATAGGGATTACTAAAGTAATAGGGATTACTTTGGGGACATCACAGGCTGGACTGTAGGTCCCCAAACAGCACAGACAGCAGTCATACTCTCCAGCACAGTGGGGTGACTGCAGTTCCCAACAGCCTATTACATATTTCATGAACAACTACAAGAGACAGCTCAAAGCCTCCAGACTTGAAGTAATGCTGAGGAGACGGCACTGCTAACGACCCTGATTTGATCAGTGCACACTGAAGACACATTTTGAAATATCACATTGTCCCTCATAAACACACTCAATTCCTACTTTAGTAATAAAAACATTCAAAAAAATGTTGAAGGAGATGGAAATGTTAGCACCCCAATTTGATCATTCCACATTGTACACATGCATCCAGTTATCACTGTACCTTATAACTGGGCACAATTAAAACAATAATTAATAATCATAAAAAGAATCCAAGGCTGAAGAGGAAAAGCACACACAGACTCAGGTGAGTGCCCTGTGTCCCCACTGCATCCTGGAGAAGAACTGGGGCCAGGAGAGGGTGCTCTTGCTAAGGGTCCTGGCCTGCTCTGCTCTCCTAAGCCCCACCCCGCTCACACCAGGGCTCAGCTCACCTGGTGATCACGTAGGGGCCGAAGCACACGAGGAAGGTCCCTATGAAGGTGCTGATCTTCTTGGTGGCCCGCTGCCTCCTCCGCTTCTGTTCCTCCAGACAGCGCTCCCTCACACTGTGTGGAAGAGAGAGAAGGTGACTCACAGGCAGCCTGCCAGCTCACACTGAGGTACTTCTGATAGAGTAGGCACTGGGCTATGGAGCCCAAGAGACCTGGGGTCAAGTCTTGGCTGCAGCTGTGTGACCTGACCGTGAGCAGGCTGTGGGACACTGCTAAGCCTGAGGCCATCGTCTGTAATATAACAACACCCAGGGCCTGTTGGATGTGTGTGCTCTCTTGTACACACCATAAGGCCAGGTCAGCACACAGATGCGTGAAATGCATTCAGCCCATACAGCACGTGAAGCAGGAGCAATTGTGCTTAAGTGAGTCCCAATAAAATCGACTCTTCCTGCGACACTTGCATCATTCACTCACACCTACTACGCACCAGCCCACGGAACCGCTCTTACCGAGCAGAGTTTCTAGTTCTTAACTTCACCCCGATCAGTGGATCAGGCCCGCGGGGTGCTTTTCATCTGCCCTGTTTTTCAGTGAACACCATGAGTTCTGTGAGGCCAAACAGCCTGCTCAGCTGGCCGGCAGCGGGGCTGAACCCCATCCATGTGACTCAAAGCTGGCCTTTCCCCGGGGTACCGAGAGCCTGCACGCGGCACGACATGGGGCTTCCTTTCCTCCACATCCTCAGCCTGTTTCCATCCTCACACCTCCACCCTGCCAGGAGCTCGAGAGCCTATCTTGTTGGGTCACCGATTCCTCCAGAGATGGAGTTTGGAGAAGCAAGGAGACCACCAAGTCCTCGTGGAATCAGGGAGCAGTTTGGAGAAAGGAAATGGGAGCCACCAATGCCTCTGACCACGCCTGCTCCTGCTCTGATCCACTCCAGGGCCTGCCCAGAACTGGTACCCAAAGGCCCGCGAAAAGCAGAGGCTCTGTGACCCACTGTGTGCAGCGACAGGAGGAGTGTGAGCTACAGCTACTTTGCCTGTTATCACGGGTGAGGAGGCCCTGGAGGCAAGCTGGCCCAGGCTCCATGGGCTCCATCTCACGGCACCCAACCTGGGCAGGTTCTTTTAATGTGTATGTTCTAAATAATTCAACTGACTAAAGATGGCCAGGAGGAAACTGTGGACAGCGTTCCCAGGAAGCGAAGATAACCTGGCAGAGCCAGGCACCAGCTGCCAGTGACCTGGTCTGAAAATAGGCCCCCTGCTCAACCACAGCAAGCAGCGGAGACCCCTCTGGAGACCCAGGTCCAGGAGCACCCATCATCTTACTACGTGCTCAGAACTCTTCTACTCAGACTTCCTGTCGCAGATGGACAACGCCGTGTAGGTTTGGACTGACAGGTCCTGAAATTTGCACGGAATTGTTTTCCCTTGACTTTGCCTTTCCAGGAATTCACAAAGGAACTGGGAGCTGAGCTTGGTAGGAACAGGTTTCCTATGGGTTGAAAATGCACTGCTCATGACTAATATTGCTCATCAATTCCTAATCACTAATACAACAGCCACATTCCCAAGTCTTCAGTATGTGCCACGCCAGACCCTGTGACAGGAGCTCACGTGCATTTGTTTATCGGATACTCACAACTCTACAAGCTGAGGGCTGATATCAGTATAGTCCCCATTTTTCAGATAAGGAGACGGAGGCTCAGAGGAGTTAAGTGATTTTTTCCCAAGATCACACAGTTGGTGAGTGGTGGCAGATGTCCTGTTTAAACATGACAGTCCTGCATTCTAAATGGTCTGCAGGGTGCTGTCCTGGTTTTAAAAGGAAAGCCCCAGGTCTGGGAGCCCCTTCTCAGTCCCAAGACCCTGGGTGGTGGCAGGAGTCCAGGCGCTGGCTCTGCAGCCTTCAGCAAAACCTGCTGACAGTCTGAATCACTCTGTCTCCTAGGGAGGCACCAGGACTCGGATTTCTCCACCCAGGACACATGAAGAACATGGCAGGCACACAGTGGGGCCTAAAGTCACATCCCCAGAGATGGGCTTTAGTCTCCCGACTTTCTGATTGCACTTGAGTGCCTGCAAGTTTTCTACCCAAGTCCTCTGGCTCAGGTGACACTTGCAGGGAGGAGGAGGGAATGCCTGGGCCTCCCCCCTCTCAGGCCAGGGTGTAAGGAGGTGACCAACTCAACTATCTTGGTTTAAAACTCGACGTCCCAAGCCTGGGAAGCCCCCAGACCCAGGCAAATGGGGATCCTGTTTTGCTCAACGCTCAGCATCAGTCCCCACCACGGAGGCCCACTCATTTGACCACTCATGCATTTCCCCCAGGACTTTCAGAGCTATCCATGACAGGTGTGCTGCAAGACGCAAGCCAGTGTCCTGTGCCATCTCTGCACACCGCCCCCACGACAAGCAGAGCATTCTGGGCATGTCCTGAAAAGAAGCACCAAATTCATACACAGGACTCAGGAAGAGGACCCCAGAGCAACCGGGGCTGGGCCCTCTCCATCTGTGACCTGACAGACGGCCAACTCCCAGGGGCTTAGAACAACCCTGTGGGGAAAGGAGCTCTGGCTTAGGGGTCTGAAGCTCTGCCCTTAGCTGTGTGACCTCCTGGAAGTCACCTGACCTCCCTGAACCCAGTTTCTCATTTATCTCAGGGGCTGTCACAACAGGCATAACGAGAGCTGCTGTTCGTCATAGGGACAGATAGGGCTTGCCAGCCACGGCGGGGGACAGAGCTCCTTGGGTCCTCCCAGGAGGAACTCAGGGCCGAGAACCTAGCTGTCTCCAGGTGAGCAGAAGCCCCCTCACCTTGCCACATGGAAAACCTCTCCCCCAAAACACAGAGATCCTTGGGAATAGGGAAGGCTTCGCGGGTCTTCAGAAGGACAGTAGCACTTTGGTGACCTGAAGGAGTGAAATGGACCCTTCACAGGCTCAGATGACCAGGGCCACTCCCGGTGCTGTAAAAACTACGGGGAAATAACTTCCTGCTTCCAGAAGGCCTGGGCAGCAGGGGACATGAAAGGGCAAGCACTCTGCTATCACATACGTCGGTGGTGACCATGGTTCTAGGCTCCAAGCCTCACACCCAGAAAATACATAACGAGTGGAACATCTTGGGAAAACTCACTCCGTCAGCTTTTTTTTTTTTTTTTTTTTTTTTTTTTTAGTTGTCAATGGACCTTTGTTTTATTTGTTTAAATATGTGATACTGAGAATCGAACCCAGTGCCTCGCACATGCTAGGCAAGCGCTCTGCCACTGAGCCACAACCCCAGCCCCCAACTCAGTCACTTGTTAAGTGATCTTTTCTAAAGAGATGACGGTGAGCCAGAAATACATTCTAAAATAGATTTTTTACAAAGTGAACCATGAGCATCTTAACCCTATCAGACAAAGCGAGGATGGTCAATGGTGTGAAACATCTCCACTGGCCTGGCCTCCATTCTTGGTTGCTCACCTAGTGGTTAAGCATGAAAAACCAGAGCCAGACCTCAGGATTTAAGTACAGGCACCATCACTTCATTACTGTGTGGCCTTGGGCAAGTTACACAGCTTTTCTGTGCATCAGCTTAGTCATCTCTAAAATGAGAGTAATGAGTCTCTACTTTGTAGTGTTACACTGGGAATAACCGAATCAATGCAAAAGGTACTGAGGACAGTTCCCAGCTCAGTAAGTACTCAATAAATGCTGGCCATTAATTTTCATTCTTCATTCAATAGAAACTTATTCAATAATTCCATACTGTGTTTCAACTTTGCCCTGAAACTCCTCTCCCACTGCAAGAGTCTTGCCCTGAGCATTTATAAACAGGAGCTGGAGCCAGGGGCTGCCCCAGGGGTGCGGTAAGGCAGAGCCAGCAGCCAGGTGCCTGAGACTGAGTCCTAACTCCCTGAGGACTGTGACCCCGCTGGGCCTCCAGGGACCCCAAGAGACTGTCCCTACCTGGCTGTGTGCAGCACAGAGGGCATCTGTAGACTGGGGTCGTGTCTCTGCTGGGCCAGAGCCACTAGATGCTAGGGCCATGACGGCATCCACCCAGCTCACAGCCCCAAGGGAAAGAGGAACCTGCTACCCAGACAGTGGTGTGCGGGTGGGACCGGCATCCGGCCACTGACTCCAAGCCAAGCTGCAGTCGGGAACCTCATCACCCCTTCCCTGAACTTTGGAGAAAGAAGGGGCTGGCTCCACTTTTCCTCCCTGGGATCTTCTACTTCCCAGGTGAGAAGAGGTGGCAGGAGATGAGTGAGGCAGGGGGGTCCCTTTCCCCGGGAAGCAGCCCAGCTCCTGGCTTGTCACTGTCATGGTTTAGGCACAGCCTGGGCGCCCTCGCCCACTCCCAGAGCAATGGCATATGAAACCGCTTGGCGTTGGCTGCCGCGTTCTCCCTCCAGAGCTTTGCAATCCAAGCTCCTGGAAATCTTGGAGCCTGTGAGCCGATCGTGTGCTCATCTGCACATCATGATACTGGGGTCCAGCAGAGGGGGTTGGGACATGTCTAAGGCCACTTGGGAAATTCTGTTCAGGACCAGACCTCATCCTAGGTCTGATGACCCTGGGTTCTGGGGTGTTCCCCCAACCCCACTGTCACCCATAGAAATCACCAAGTGCTGAGCATTCTGACAATCCTGGGCCTGGTGGTGGCACCTGGAATCCTTGGACCCATGGGAGGAATCTGTGGCAGAGGCTGAGCCTCCCCCACCCACAGCTGGCAACTTGGCCAGGGGGCAAGCAAGTCAGCTTTGCAGCGGGGTTGGGGTGGGTCCACCCCGGTCTGTGCAAGACAAAGGGGAGAGGCTGTCCAGCATTGTGACTCCTGGGATCAAAGACAGGCTCCTAGCAGGCCTCTGTCACCAGGTGAAAGGGGTGGCAATTCCGGGAAGGTCTGAAGAGTCATGAATGAGGCAACCTCTGCTGTCACCTTCCAGCCTCAGCTACCTCCCTGCCCTCCACACAGAACCTGGGTCATGAGTGACCCCAGCTGACTGTAGTTCAGCCTCAGCCCATGCTCAAGCACTCACACAGTGACCTATTTTGGTTTTCCGCCTTTTAAGGCAAGTGAGAAGCTGACTCACAGTAGGAAAGAGCCCTAAGTTTGGGCCAGGATGCTGGTACAACCTGACCCTGCATCTTGGGGATCCACACTGCTCCCCATATAATGGCCAGTTCACAGGGAAAAGGGGATTGTCCAGCTCACACTTCCATTGTAGACCAAATTCTCAGTGCTTGGAGCATGGCAATCTTTTCCCAAATGCCTTGATCCTGCTTCCAAAATGTGTGCAGGCATCTCCCGCTGGCCCCGTGCCTCTGAGGGTGGACTATGCGGCCTGAGTGCCCACTTTAGGCCTGAGGAGCAGCATTAGTGAGCAGCGTGTGTTTGTGGCTTTACAGCCTGCAGTGTGCTTCTGGTGCACAGGGCCCCTGCAGTGCTGGGTAGGCCAGCACAGGAGGTGAGGCTGGTGGCCCAGCTCCCCTCTCCCCAGCAAGAACAAGGCTGACCTCCAAGGAGCCTGTAGAGGCTAAACGTGAACTCCACCTTGCAGGAAAGGTGTATTTGCCAAAGTAAGGGGACAGAACATGTTCCATTTGCCAGTTAGTGAGCTTAGTTTAGAGCACCTACACGTCTAGACACACTGCTGGTGAGCCTCCACTTGCCTAACTGCTCTACAGACCAGGGCATGATTCTGGACTCAAGCTACTTTCTGGATCTGCTAAATCAGGCGAGTGCCTCACTTCCTGTCTCCCAGTTTCCTCATCTGTAAAGTCAAGGGCATGGTGAGGTTCTGACTGCAATGCCACCACTTGACACACTCCAGAGCCAGCTGTCAGTCAGCCTCTGTGGGCATGGTTCATAGGACATAGAGGGGAGGCCCTGCAGACCCTTTGAATTTTTAGTGGGGAGCCCAGGCTGCTTCTGGGTTGAGTCCTGTTTCAGCATCCTGCTTCTCAAAAGTCCTTAACCCAAACCAATGAGCCTGGCCCTGCAGTGGACTGGATAGAGCAGGCACCTGCATCCATGCCTAGCAGCACCAGGGAGGGGTGGCTGTAGCGGGTCGGGAGTTGGGACTAGAGAGAAGTGCACACTGAGCTGAGCCGGTGGAGGGCTAGGTGTGGATCAGACACTGGAAACTCCCACCTGCCTCGAAAAGGTAATCACTGGAGAAATGCCACAGGCAGGCAGGGGCACGGGATGCTGCTCAGGGCCGTATTTAAAGAAGAGAAGGTCCCTGCCGTTTGGGGGTGTTGAAGAAAGGGGGCATGGCTTGCTGCACATGGCATTAATATCCTGCAGGAAGAGCTGATACCACCAGGGCCTCCTGACAAATGCCACACTGGGTCCCAGGAGGCTAAGGAAAACTTGCAGGGAGCCCAAGCTCCACCAGCCACGCTGGCTGCTGAGAGAAGGCAGTCTGGCTTCTGAAAACCCAGGACTGGACCCACGGTCACACAGGCTCTTGGCACCAAATTGGGTGAGGAGGCCCCGGTGCAGGGATGCAGAGACAGCCCCAGAGCAAGCTGTGCAGTTCTGCATTTGTGTGAAGGAAGAATTTGGAGCTGCCAGATGCCAGAGGACTGGCTGTCAGGGAGTCCCCTGAGGCATGTCTGTCTCTTCCAGGTGGGCAAAAGCCCCAGGGAGGGACAAGGCCATGTCCGCTGAGTGGCCTACTGCTCCACAGCATCCATGGAGCTGGTGCAATGGGAGTTGGGCTCGGCCTCCAGGCCCTGGACGTGAGTGGGGCCTCTGGGAGTTGGGCAGGGCCTGAGGCTGCCCAGAAACCTGTCCTCTCCAACAAGGCGGCTCTGCTCCTGAGCCCTGAAGGGCCTGGGGTGGTAGGTACAGGAGCTCCTCGGGGTCCCCAGAGGGGAGTGGGGAGAGGAGGGCCCTTCCCTAAGATCTCCCCAGGAGCTCTCCCACAGCGTCTGGCTTGGAGTAGGAGAGACAGATTTGTTGCTGGCCCCTGTCCCCTAAATGGGCTGAAAGGGAGACACTGCCACTGCCACCCCCACCCCCACCCCCGCTTCTGGAAGTCGAACAGGAACCAGTCTAAATAGGAACCGATTCTTTTCCCAGTTCCATCTCTTCTCTGCTGTGAGACTCATGGTGAGAGGGCCCTCTCCAGGGCTTGTTCAAGTCCTGAGTTCAACAACATTTCCTTGCACCTTCTAAGAGCAGTCCTGGCCCGAGCCCCAGGGATGCACCTTCTAAAGTGGAGGGTGATGGAAGGGGACAGGTCTGCAAGTGTGGCTGCAGCATGTTCCTCCCACATACTGAGCCGGGCACAGGCAGTGAGAGCTGCCGCAGGTGCATTTTGCATGTAACTCTGTGGGGAAGGCTCTGTGGTGAGAAGATTGTTCTAGCATGTAATCAGGAGTGGCTGTTCTTGGGAGCAACAATGGACACATATCTCCACACCTTTAGATGTGCAAGCCTGGCGAGATTCAAGGACCGCGCATTACTGCTCATGGTTGAAAAGCTTAGCAAGGAACCCTTGTTCAGACTGACACCTCTGGTCTGCTAGGTGCTGGGCAGGAACATGTGCCTCCTGGGGACTGAGCTCCCTGACAGACTGAGCTCTGCTCACAACAGGAGGGCCCTAGCTTCTCTCACCAGGGCTCTCTGCCTGCCTCACCTCCAGCACCTATTGGGATACCAGAGCCCTTACCTAGGGTCACAGGCAACAGAAGGGGAGCCTGCTTTCCATGGACATAAACAGCAGCATTTGAAGAGACACACCAGCACTTTCCCTCTTTGCTTTCCTAATCTCATGAGGAAAGCCAGGTGAGCGCAGGACAGCTCAGCTTACAGTTCCTTCCTCTCCCTGGGGGGATCCTGGGGATGGCAGAGGTTCTCAGCAGTACTTGGGCTTGCTGCCTCCGTCTGCCCTCCTGAGAAAAAGCAGCCAGATGGGGATGGAAGTGGGTGGGCAGGCTGTCTTAGGAGTCTCCAGGCTCCAAGGCCAGGTGACACTGGACAGAGCTTTCTGGAGGGTGAGTGCAGTTCCATCCCCTCAGAGCCAGCAACAGGGAAAGGCACAGCCTGGTTCCATCTGGACACAGGCAGTGCCAGACACTGGAGAGAGGAAAGGCCCAGAGGAGCAGCCCTGCTCAGTTTGAAGAGCCCTCAAGGGCTTCCTAAGGCTCTGGCCACCCTCTCCGGGCAGGAGTCAAACCTTAAACAGTGAACAGAGCCCACTGCCTTCCCGTGTCACTTACACTGACAGCTATAAACACAGTCAAGGACAAGGAAGCCCAAGTGAGTTCTGACTGATTTTGCTTCAGAAAGTGGCATGTCCAATATCACCCAGGTTTTTGGTGGCCCTGATCTGTGGAGTTTAGGCACCTGCTAAGTCCCCAGGACGGCCCCTCCCGACCCTGGCTTTCTGAGGAGGAAATGGAGCTTGGTGGAAGAGTTGCTCCCCCACGATCCACACTGGACACCCAGACCCCCACTCCCACCGACTTCTCGCCCAGTTCCCGGAGCACCGGCTCCGGCACCTCACCTGGGATGGATGTCCACCAGCAGCACGAGCGTCTGCATGGTGATCACGTCGATGCGCTTGCAGTGGAAGCGGGCCACCTTGAGCACCTTGAGGTACGTGAAGCAGAGCACAACGAAGGACAGCAGGAAGCTGAGCGCGTGGAAGGCGCCGGTGAAGACCGCGAAGCGCAGGCGCTCCTCTGGCCGCCGGCTGCACAGCGTGCAGGACGCGTACAGCTGGTGGAAGCCCAGCCAGGACAGGGCGAGCGCGGCCGCAGGGAAGGTGAGCGCGTGCAGCCACGTGTAGGCCACCATGAGCGCAGCGTCGCGGAGGCGCATCTTAGCGCGGTAGCTCAGCGGGAAGACCACGGCCACCCAGCGGTCGATGCTGAGCGCGGCCATGCTGAGCATGGAGTTGGAGGCCAGGAAGGTGTCGAGGAAGGCGGCCAGGCGGCACAGGCGG